GCAAGGCCAAGACCAAGGTCAAGGCCTAAGACTAACAACTCTGAATTTAAGCAACAAATTTCAAAAAATATTAGAATACTATACAAAGCAAAAAGCTATTTAAACATGCGCACTTTAAAGCAACTGTATTATTCACTCATCACCGCCGTATTAACTATGCAAATATAGCGTGGGACAGTATTAACAAAAGTAAACTAGAGCCTCTTCATCGTCATCAGAAACATATAGCATGTTTTGTGATCTTCGAATTCATTCAAAGCCTCTCCTAAGATGATGAGTGTTTAAAACATATATCAACAAACGTATATAATAATTTTTGTTTTATGTACAAATGTAAAACGAAATTATCTCCGCCTCCTTTTCATAGTTTATTTATAAAAAAGCAAAAAAATAAATACGATCTACGAAATGATGATTTTTTGATGCAACCATTTTCGAAAACTAATCGTTGTAAATTTTGCATATCATTTCGTGGACCGTATCTTTTGGAACAAAGTTGTTTTAAATAACTTTGATTTTTCTTTTGAATGGAATTACATATCCATTAAATAAAATCTACTCCTTTCCACTTTTTTAAAAAAAAGTGGAAAGGAGTAGATTTTGAAATTGATAATATACAAATGTACTTTTAAAACCTTTTGAAATTCTTTTTATCTATTATTTATATCGGTTTATATGATTTGTAATGTATGATTTTAATTGTATGATTTGTATTTCAATTACTTACGTTCTGCAAGCCTGTATTGCTATTATATTATCTGTCAAATTATCTTTAAGAAATTTTTTATGAACTTTTTATTTTTTTGTAATTTTTTTTATTTAAATCTTGTTATTCTTTTATTATTGCAAAACACTTACTTTTTTATTTACCACGTGAAATTTTTAACGTCTTTTTACAACGGTACTTGACGACAAGATTCTTCTACGAGTTTCCGCGTTCTGTTTTTTACATATATATTAAATATCTTTACTTGTAATTATTTATATTATTATATTTAAGCTTGTAAATTTTATTAAATATTAACGTAATGTTTTAAAATGTAATAAAGAACAAAAAATACCACTAAAAAAAAATAACCTAAATTAAGAGACTGAAAACGTCAAATTTACAAACTAAACTGATATTAATGCTACAATGCAATTTTCTGTATTTGAAATGATAACACAAACAAAAAATTACTAATTTTTGATGTTGCTATGCAGTTTTGAGCTCTTAGAAACCAGTTATTTAATTTTTTTTATGAAACTTTTGCCTAATTCAAAATTTCTTCAAAAATTGAACTAAAAACTTTGGAAACAATCGTAACTCTAAGAATTTATAAATACAGTTAATTAAATTTGAATTAATTGTATATATGTAGTTCAATTGTCTTTTGTCAACCAAAAAATATATATATATATATGAATTTCTCAAACTTTTTATGAAAGGATCAGACAAATACATTAGTCGCCTTGAAAAATCTTTATTGGTTTTTCAACTCGAACACTTTCTAAAAAAAGATTTATGAAACTTTCTAAAGTTTTTTATTAAGAGCGTCTTGTGTCTCTTCACTTAGCATGCCATTAGGCAAAGTCATTCTCTCTTCAAGTTGCCAACCATGAATAAGAATGCAATGCAAACACTATGAAATATGGTACCAGTGATATATATTTACACTTTTTCAACTGTTTTGTAACAGTATTCTCTAAATAGTGAAGAGTCAGTTAGAAAGCGAGATGACAATGTACCTAAAATAAGATGTACCACATTTATCATACTCACATCAAGTTCAAGAATTTGAACAAACTTTTCTGCATTTATAAAAATCTTTTAGCAGTGTTTCCATTATTTGATGACCCAGAGCCACTAGACATTGGCATACTAATTACCAGTCTAACTTCATCACCAAACCTTATTTGAATTTTCTGTTTTCGTTGTTGGATAATTTTTTTTCAAACGATGTCCTTATAGACTACATTTTTAACCGTTAAATTATAACTAATTTTAAGAAGAAATTTTATGTCTTTAACCCAAATATGGAGAGTTAAAAGGCTAGAGCAGAGACCTATCTCTGTCACTGGCATATTTTTAGCTGCATTAAGATCATTAATAATCATTTTTGTTGTATTGCATCCACAAACTGAACAAAACTGAGAATATATAGTGGCTTTAGATAATGCTGTAGCAAATTTGAAAAAAATAAACTAACTTCTTCTAAAAAATTTCTGTTTTCTTCTCAACTGTTATGTGAGTATAACTCCTTTGGCTAGTTGATCCTATGTATGTATATATATATATATATATATATATATATATATATATATATATATATATATATATATATATATATATATATATATATATATATATATATATATATATATACATATAATATATATATATATATATATATATATATATATATATATATATATATATATATATATATATATATATATATATATATATATTATATATATATATATATATATATATATATATATATATATATATATATATATATATATAATTTTTAATTTGTTAATGACCAATATAATTAAAGTAGTGGTCAAACAATTAAACACTGCATGTAAAATATTTTATAATAAATTTAAGTTTAATACTTTTTAAACACTGGAGGCCTTTAAAAAAATTATCAGTAGTGGTATTTATGTTATCAAAATAATATTTTCCTATTTTTAAACAGGAAATGATAATTATCCATAGTTGAATCTTTACAACTATTATAGTCAATTTTTTATTTGTTAATTAAAGTTTCATGTTTTTGTTTGTAGAGATGTTTTTCATAAGAAATTAAATTTTTTTTCATTTTTGAGTTCCAAAAAAACAAAATTTGGAAGAAAGGATACTGATTTTGCTCCAGACTACGCATGTCTCACAGTTGGATTTTTAAAAGAAACAAGACTTTTTTCAAAAATTCTTACCTAAGTACTTTTCCGATCAAGATGTTAACGATATAAAAAAATTTTCTTATAGATATATTGATGATGATTTTATAATCTGGCCAAAACAATTGGATATAGTAAAGTTTATGAATTCTTTAACTAAAATAGATAGTTTAATCAGTTTTACAACAGACCAAGGCAAAAAAATTTATAAAAGATGGTAACACTTACAATGTGATTAACTTTATAATTAATTTTAACATAAAGAGTCATATAGCTTGCAATAGTAAAAAAGTAATATAATATTTAAAATGTCTATCTTGCAATATGAAAATTACATACACCGGAAAAACTAATGATTAAAGACTTCGTACAAAATGGACATATTTCTAGGTGTAGAACCGGACAATTAACAGATAGATTTGATAATCATGTTTATAATTGCCAACGTGCACATAATACAATTATAGAACCTTTCTTCCAACTTTTTGTTTTTTTGGATCTCAAAAATGAAAAAAATTGAATTTCCGATGAAAAACATCTCCACAAACAAAAACATTACACTTTTAAAATGACATTTCCTGTTTAAAATCAAATAAGAAATTGACTATAACAAATATAAAGATTAAACAATGGATAATTATCATTTCTTGTTTAAAAAAAAAGAAATTATTATTTTGATAAAATAAATAGCACTACTGATGATTTTTTGAAAGGCCTCTAGTGCTAAAAAATATTGAAAAATATTAAAATATTAAACTTAAATTTAATATATATATATATATAATAAAGGACATTTGTTACCAAAAATTAAATTCAAAACTGGTTTAAAATTATTTTTCTTTTTAATTTTTTATTTATTTATAAATTTTATATATTAACAACTATTTGATAAATTAATAAAAACATTTAATCAATACACAGTGGGCTAATTTTCAAAAAAACTGGCCAAAAATCAAAAAAAAAATCACTATTTTGAATTTATTATTTTGAAACTACGTAAACAAAGCCCTGTTGCATTTTATTGTATAAGAAAAAATTGTATAACTTTTAAAGTTACCTATATCTACGCAGCTAAACATCTGTTATTAAAAACACTTAATTGGCGTTTTAAAAACAAAAAAAAAATATGGTTAAATAAGTATCGTTTACAAAAAAATTATTTATCGTTACTAAAAAACTAACTATGGACGATACTATTCAAGGTATTTATATAATATTTTAGTAAAAGGTTTTATATTAATTCTCTAAATTTTATGCGAAAAGTGCAAACAAAAAAGTACAGAATAAAGTTTATTTATTTTCTTTAACCTATTTTTCAAGCATTGAAAAAGTAGGGAACCCGCGAGATTCCGCTTAGTTATAATTTGGATGTTGTTCATAAAAGTGTATTCTAAAGATTGGTTAAAAGAAAAGGCACCTATTTTTGCCTATTACTTCATTAACTTATATTGTGTAGTGCTGTCGTGTTTTTTAGTAAACAAAATGGCGGTGTTTTGTTTTCTTTACAAAATCAGTCAAATTGCTATAGTTATTATGTTTCTTGAGCAACTGATTTTGTTAAGTGCAATAAAACTACAATAAAATTAGTAGCACACATGAATGAGATTTTGACAAAGTTAGAGTGTAGAGGGGGGGGGGGGACAAACCCCCTCGGTTACGACGTCTTTTTTACCTCAGCTACGACAATTTTTGTATAGTTTTATTAAATTTTACAAAATCAGTTTCTCAAAAAACATAATAACTATATCTATATACAATCATATGATTAACAGTATATTTTACCTTTCTCTTATATATCGAATTTATATAATATAATATATTATCGATTTTTTTTAATTTTATTTTTAATTAGTTTAGTAAAGTTATAATGTTTTTATGATTTTTTCAATTTTTATATTTTCAATTAATATCTAAGGTTCACAAAAAGATCATTTGCAAATTCCTCGAATTGAAATTTTAGAAATTTTAAAAAACGAGTTATCTTCAGATCTAGATGACCAGCTTGATATTTTGCAATCACAGTTGTGTCTAAGAAGAAAAATTTGTTTCCAATTTTCAACAGATGATAAAAAGAAACTAAAAAATGTATTGACAATATTAAAAATAAAATGGAAAAATAGTAACCGAACAAAAAAAATATTTTTGAAGACACATGACACTTGGTTAAAAGCCTCAACAAATATTTGTGTAAGTTATTTAATGCTTATCTCTATTAAAGTTTTGAACTTTTTTATATTTACTAAACATTTAAATAACTTCAGATTGTTCAAGCACGAAACAAAGAGAAAAAAAGCCATAGTGCAATGGGTCGACCACCTTTGAATTTTGATGAAGCAAGTGAGCGAACGAAACGGCGAAAAACAGAGGAAATGCGTTCGACATTTAGTTCATCCGAGTTAGCATTTGCTTCTCAGATGAGTCTTCGGGCTTCAGGAGCATGCAATGCCGGAGTTACAGTTAAAGATTTACCTTCCACCATTCAACACCGAGTCGGAAATTATATAGAGAGCCTTAAATTGTCCCAAACTTCACAAACATCTGAACTATGTGCTGAAACAGCTCTTTCCAAACTAATGGAAGCAAAGCTTTCTAAACACCAATATTGCATTATAAGAAGTGCTGCAATTGCGAATAGCTCTTTTTTTTTACCATCTTACGAAAAACTTAAAGAAGCCAAGAAAATGTGTTACCCTGAAGATATAACGGTAACTGAAATAAGCGCCGAAGTTAAACTGCAATCTTTCTTAAATCACACTTGTTTACGAATTATAAAAACTCAACAAGATGTAATTGACTCCTTGAATGTAAATATTTTATCAAATTTTATTTTAATTCTTAAGTGGGGATTTGATGGCAGTTCCGGTCATAGTGAATATAAACAGAGATTTGCCGATGGAAGAAACTCAGATGCAAATGTTTTTCTGACTTTACTTGTACCATTACAACTTTTGTGTACAAATTCAGTTTTAGGTCAAGATGTTATTCTATGGAAAAATAGGACACCCTCATCTACTCGATTTTGCCGACCTATCAGACTGCGATTTCTTCACGAAAATGTCCATACAAGCATTAATGAAAAAGACTATATTGAAGATAAAATTGAATCACTGGTTCCTCTCATCATTGTTCAACATAAAATAGAAATTAAAATATATTATAAATTGGTTATGACAATGATTGACGGAAAAGTTTGCAATGCAATAACATTGACGAAATCAACAATGCGGTGTTATTTGTGTTCTGCTACTTCGAGTCAATTCAATAATATCTATTTAAATAAAAGTTGACGAATCAAAATTGGAATACGGTTTATCAACGTTGCACGCATGGATTCGCTTTTTTCAATGTTTTTTGCATCTTGGGTATAAACTTGGAATAAAGAAATGGCAAGCACGTTCTGACATTGAAAAAAGTATAATATTACAACAAAAATTGTTAACCCAGAATACTTTTAAGCTGCAGCTAGGGTTAATAGTTGATCGACCGAAACCAGGATGCGGTAATACAAATGACAGAAATACAGCTCGAAGATTTTTTAAAAACTCACAAGTGTCTGCTGATATTCTAGGAGTGGATTTAGAACTAATAAATCGGTTTCATGTAATTTTACAGGTATTATCTAGTGGCTTTCCTATAGACGCAGACAAACTTGATAACTATTCTACCGAAACTGCACTACTTTTTGTTGAAAAGTATCCTTGGTATAACATGCCTACAACAGCACACAAAGTACTTATTCATGGAGCCTTAATAACAAAAACAGCAATACTACCCATAGGACAACTATCTGAGGATGCACAGGAATCGAGAAACAAAGACTTAAAAAAATATCGCGAAGATTTCTCAAGGAAAAATTCCAGAAAAAATACAATGCATGACGTTTTTTGCAGACTTCTGGTTTCGTCAGTTCCTGCAATATCTTCACTTTTAAAATCTCATGCAAAAGTTAGCAGATCTTTGTCTTCTCAAGCTTTACAAATGTTATTACCTCCGAAGATTAACGAAAACTCTGAAACTCATTCGTCTGTGATTGAGTTTATCAACAATATTTCAATAATAAATGATTCAGATGACAGTGGTGATTGATTTTAAAGTAATATAAATAAAACAATTATGATAAATGATGCAAATAAAAGTTTTCCTTGTTTTCCTTGAACAAATAAATAAGTAGAATAAATAATGAATTTTTCAATTTATTTTTCTTAACATTGCGCCATAATAATACGGTCATAATACATTATATATCGGTATTACATATAATATTTATATATGTAATGTAAATAATACATTAGTCTATTGAACTTAAATGTCGAATTAGAACTAATTGGTTAAACACGAAGGCCCAAAGGCATTTCTAATGATTAATGTTTTTAAAACACCGCCATTTTGGATCTGCCATTATTGACTTTTGGTACACTTATGTAAAATTCAAAGTTGGGGATTCAAAAAAATGCTATACAGAAATTTTCCATTAATTATAATCATTTTTTGACTTTTGGCCAGGTTTTTTGGAATTCCACCCACTGTGCAATATACCAAAAAATTATTCTGCACTTTTGCTAAGTAAAAAAACTACATTTTCTCACTTTATCGCTTCTTTTTTTTTTTGTTAAGAATATATTCTTTTAAAATTTAATGAAAATATTTTTGAGGTTCCCAATACATCTAAATAAAAATTATTTTAAAAAAACTTACGTTTTCAGACATGAATTTTTTTAGTTTTGTCCACCTATTGGCCCATTGTGCGTTGCACGGATTTTTCTGATATTAAATGCATCAATTCACTAATTAAAAGTCAACAACGTCATTTTAAAAATAAATTTATTAACAAATCAATCATGCATTTACTTTATGCGTGTATCATATAATATCAAGCCACAAAGTAGTCTACATAAGTACTATTTGAAGACATTTAGTTTAATGAAATAACTATTAAAATATACCATTTGCTTCCCGTGAATTTACCGTTTTTTAACAGTCCATCTTTCCTACGCTTCCAAACATTTTTAGGTAATCCCCCCCCCCATTCCACCTCTCCACTAAACGTCACAAGACAAACTTTTTAGCAAAAACAAATTATTTACCTTACTTTTAATATCCTAGCTTACAATCTTAGTCGTGTTACACAACATAAGTCGTAAAACATAAACATAAGTCGTAATACAATTACGTAAATGATACAATTCAGCGTAGTAACAATATAAAACTAGGTTTCCGAAAAAAGATCATAAGGATCTTATCATTTATTTATTTATAACGTATATATATATATATATATATATATATATATATATATATATATATATATATATATATATATATATATATTTATATAGAGAGAGAGAAAGAGAGAGAGAGAGAAATTTAACGTATTTACATTATGCAAAGATACAATACATTTTAATATATAATAAGCTGAAGATTTAACAAATACATTTTACATACATTTTTAGTAGAATTTTAGAATGTTGTCCATAGAGAGAATGAATTTTTTTAACTTAATTTTAAAAACAGGAAGAAATCATAGAGATATTAGAAGGATCAAAATTTGGTAATACTCTTTTATTCCAAAGATGGGGTGCACGATATGCAATACAAAATTGATTGAACTTAGTTCTACAAAAAGGGTCATTTAAAAAGTTATTATTTCTTAATGTGTATTTATTTATTGGTTTTAAAGAGAAAAAAAAGGTCGTTAAAAACAAATAAAGATAAATCGTTTTTCCATATAAAAGTAAAACATAAGACATTAAATATGTTCAGTTTATAAACATCTAGAACCTTCATATAATCAAAAAAACATTTTAAATGTGAATAGCGATCCGCATAATTAACTACGCGGATTACATGATTCTGACGGCGATAAAGATGCTGTAATTTACTTTTATCCGTACTTCCCCAGGCGATGATTGCATAATTTATATAATTATGTGTAAATAAATAATAGAGTTGGGTTAAGTTTTTTATGTTTAAATAATTTTGGGCTTTGTATAAAATGCCAATATTTTTAGAAATTTTTGTGCTTATATGATCAATATGTTTTCTCCTAGTAATATTCTCATCAAGGTAAACACCAAAGAATTTTATAGCAGTATCTATCTTTATTATCGTTTCATCAATATAAATTTGAGGCATATTACTTGGTAAAAAACATTTTTTTGCGCAGGAGTGAAAGATAATCCATTTTGTTTTGTTAATATTTAAAGCTAATTTATTAGCTTTGAACCAATTAGATATGTGATTGAGTTCTTTGTTTGTAGTTGAAAAGAGTTTATAAATATCAGTATGGGATAAGAAAAGATTAGTATCATCAGCGAACATTATACTTTTCAATTTGGAAGCTTTGTTTGAGTCGTTAACAAAGATTAAAAATAGTAGTGGCTTGATAATAAAACTTTATGGAACACCACAGGTTATGCTCAGGGGTTCTTTTTGCTGACCATCATTACTATACACAAGTTGTTTTCGATTTTTTAAATAGCTTTCAAACCATTTTAAGATTCTATTGTTTAAACCATAATGTTTAATTTTTTGGGTTAAAATCTAATGACCGACCGTATCAAAAGCTTTTGATAGGTCAATAAAAACACCTAGTGTATATTGGCATTTTTTAAAAAGATTTAGAGATGTTATGTATAAATTAAATAATGGCATGTTCAGTTGAACTCCCTTTTCTGAAACCATACTGATTGTTATGAAGTTATTGTATACTCTGTTAAAGATAATTCTTTCTAAAATTTTAGAAAATATAGAAAGAACAGAGATGGAACGATAATTACTGATATTAGATCTGTCGCCTTCTTTATGGATAGGGATAACCCTGGCAAGTTATAAACGTTCAGGAAAAATACCTTGATGGAAAGATGCACCTGGTGATGGAAAGATGGAAAGGTGCACCTGGTGCAAATGAAAGAAACAGAAATATTGTTATAGATTGCTACGAACAATTAAAAAATATTCTTTTTAAAATTTTCAGAGCAAATCAAAAAATAAGGCACCGGTTCTTTATTTTTTTTAAAGATTTGAAAGCTTTTTCAAACTCATCAAATGATAGTTCGGCATATAATTCTTCAGAGCAAAATAGGTATCAAAAAGTCATAAAATGAGGTTTGGGTTTTTGGTATTTTACTAGACAGAGTTGATCCAATTTCAGTGAAATATTTATTGAATTTATGAGCTATTATTTGTAGCTCATACAAGCTATTGCTATCGACTTTAAGCATTTGTGGCAAAGAGCTTGAGCATGTTTTTTGTTCTCCAGTAATTTCTTTCAATACTTGACAAGTGCTTTTTGAGTCATTTTTAACTTTAGTAATTAATTTTGAATAGTAAGTTTTTTTTAAATTTTTTCGGATTTTTTTGAAAATATTTTTGTAATCCTTGTAAATTTTTTCGCTAGCTGGTGTTTTCGTTTTTAGATATTTTATGTATAGTTTTTGTTTAGTTTTGGATGATTTTTTGAATCCTTTGGTTATCCAGGGATTGTTAAAGTGTTTTGTTTTTAATGTAATTTTAACAATTTAGATTTGAAATTAGAATTTGTAAACAGAGGTGAATGTTTCAAAGAACTTTCCATAAAGTTTGTTTGCGTTTTCATTAAAATTTAAGAGTTTCCAATGTAATAATGAGAGCTGATTTTTGAAAGACTCAATATTTGATGGTTTAAAAAAACGTTTTTTTATAATTTTATTTAACTTTTGTTTAGGCGGTTGGTCAGTGTTTATGGTTAGAAAAATAGGAAAGTGTTCAGAAATATCTGTTTTTAAGATGCCCAATCACTGTTGAACAAGTCTGTAGAAATAATATTATCCATCAAAGTTGCTGAATTTTTTTTTATTCTTGTTGGACGATTTATTAAAGGAGTTGCTTCAGATTCAAAAATTGCATCATAAAAATTTCTAACTTTGTTATCGTCATTGTAGTCAAAACAATTCAAATTAAAGTCGCCAACTAGAATTTTTTTTTTCTTCGTTGTTACCTTTCGAAATAACTTTTTGCTGTAAAAACATGCTCAAGTTCTCACTCAGGCTGATAACAGCTACTCAATGCAACCATAGTCATAAGAATAAATAGTCTGGAAATAAAGGCCGTTTCCATTGTTTTGCCGTTTTATGTTGAAACTCGTATCAACGACCCGTTGAAGGTGCACAGAAAGATAAACAAAACTTTATTTAACATTACTCTATTTAATAATTTGAACTGAAGACTGGTTTTGAGATTTAATTTATATAGTTTTTAAAAATTTTTTGTATTAATTATTTTTCTAATCTGTTAAGAAAAGATTATTTAGTTTTAAAAATCTATTTTACATAGCTAAAAAAGTTATAAATAAGATTATATATATATCTATATATGTGT